TGGAAAAAATGGTGTGTACTAGCTACACTTTAGAAAGGTTGCGTGTGTAATATTATTATCGTCTACAGAAAGTGTGTAAGGGAGATTTGGTCCATAGTTCAGGTGGTAACACATGTATTTTGCCATTTATATACATATAAAATTGATATATACATCAAATATGGCACCCGCAGTAACAAAGCGTCGCATGGTGTCACTGGCAAAGGGCTAGGAATTCCTCTTAAATGATGTGAGTTTGTTTGTTTGACTTTGATTTTGCTCTTTTTGACTTGAAGGAAAAGCATTTTTTTTATTTCATATTTTTCTTTTTGGTAATTGTTTTTAATTCATATTTTTCTGTGTATTTCGCTCTTTTGACTTTCGGAAAATAGACATTTTACATATATTTTGCTCTTTTTCCTTGCTGCTAATATACCTTTTAGAAAGAAAAAAACTTCGGACTTGCTATTCTTAATTAATCTTAGGTGAATTTTATTTAGTTTAATTAATTCTTGACTTTTTCTCTTTTTCTTTAAGTACAAATCCTGGGTATGCACAACCTTCATATTAATAAGTACCATACAGTTTTAACGAATCACATAAATATTAATAAAATATGTTTAAATAGTAAAATATAAATGATAAAAAAAAGTTTATATTTTAGAAAATGATGAAAATTGACTATATTATAGTCTTTTAAATTTACGTGGTTATTTTAATATTTCACTAAGAAAACGTGAAGTATTTGCAATGTAACTAATGATGTCATCATCTATCGTCTTCAGAATATGAAAACTCGTTGAGCATAATTGTAATTGAAAGATTTATATTTATAACATTAGTAATATTTTTGATAATTTTATAATTTGCGCAAAGTTGTCATAATTATACATGTTCTTTTAATTTGAACAAAAACGACGAATAAGCGGAATTGAAGCTCAAATGGATCAAACCGACCAAATTATACCCTATTTATTGGACCGTATAAATAGCAATATATTTACGTTCAAAGTAGTGTGGCACTCGAACCTCCAAATCCTGAATTTGTCTGTGTCGGCATGACAATCGGGTGCAAGTTTAAGTGGCGGGATGCATTTTTGCCTTTTTAAAAGTGAGTATTTTAGGTTTAAGTTTTTAAATGGAGCTCTAACTGCCGGTTCCCCCCAAATATGAGCATACCATATCTACAGACACCATAACTTTGTTCTTGGTACTTCATTTGACAAAGCTCTGTTTCTCCATAGAAAGCAGGTCTTCAATCTTTACTCATCTCTTATCATTGTTCTTCCGAATAATAAATATTTCCAAGTTTTTCTTATATGATGTTATATCAATCATGCACTTATGGCTTTCTTTTAAAACTGTTTTTCTAGGGTTCCATACTTAAAAAAGGGCTCTATAATAAGGTTGTAAACGCTCTTGATAAATTACCAGTTTGCTGTTCCTTTAAGTCGTCGTTTGAATTTTGATATAACACTTAAACTCTCAAGCTCGTCTTTTCCCCCCAAGATTCGTCTCTTTTTTACTTTTATTTTAAGTGTAGAAACAAAGGAGTAAAACTACTTCTTCCTTCCAAAATTGTGTGACTTACTTGTTTTTTTTCCTAGTGTTAAACCCATCTTATTTCAATTTTTCTGTGTCTATTTTCTAGAATTTTTTATGTTTTAATTGAAGAAAAGAACTTTCAATTTGGGCATTTTTTTTTATATTGTACCTACATCTAAAAATTTGACATCATAATATGCTTCAACCATCTAATTTGATTTTTCTTAACTGCAGTTTTATGAAACTGGAAATGACCAACGGAAAGCGGAAAACACTCTGTGACTTCTTTCCTGGATCTGGTTCAATTCTTCTTTTCTTTTACTAGATTTATTTGTCTTCCACTGTGATAATGCAAGTGTTACTACACATTAACAGGTCGTTTGGTTCACATACTAGTTATGCGATATTATGATGCAAGGATTATTATGTTGTGAATAAAATTAGAAATGATAATTATTAGGTGAATAATGAAGGAGTTATTATGTGGTGAATGATAATACAGGGAGTAAAATATAGGGAGTACTTACTTTAAGGAGATTTTTGTCTTTAAATACTTGTATCCCAGTATTGCTTATACAAGTTTATATTTTCAAACTCTATCCCTTATGATTTTGATATATCAATTCCTACATAACTTAATGTGGTTATTGTTTAATATCGTCAACCAAAATTAGTTATGCGGGGATCATTTTATTTCCTTCATGGTCAACCAAATGCTGCATAAGTTATCGGGGATTATTTTTCTAATCTTCCCACCAAACACAATTATTTTATACGGAATTTTATGTTGGCGCTGTTTTTCATAATCCCTCCAACCAAATGGCGTGGTATTAGTTATTTGTTTCGTTTTCCAGATGAACCAAGGAATGGAAAAGTTCATGAGTGTGGACCAAGAAATGCAAATCTCAGGGAAGCGGGCAGTAGTAACTTTTGGAAAGAGCATGTTTTCAAGGAAGAAACAGCTTATCGAGCTATGGCAAGGTTTTTCTGTCAATCTGGTATATCTCCAAAGTCAATAGAAAACGTTAACTTCAAAAACTTAATTGCTTATCTTAATCCACAAACTCGTTTGTTTTCATCTGCCATTCTCTCACGGTATTGCTTGAAATTGTATGAGGAAGAGAAAGCGAGAGTTAAAGAAAATTTGAGAAGCTTGAATGGACGGGTTAGCCTCTCAGTTGAGAGGTTAACGTATAACAAGTTCCATGACTTTGGCTACTGGCATTCCTCGGATTTTGAGGAAAATTGTTTTGACTTCATTTGTTTAAGAGTTCATTTCATTGATGAAGACTGGAAGCTAAGGAGTTGGGTTATTAACGTTAGATCTTTTGGTGCGTATGACGATTACATTAGTGAGACAATTAAGTGTCTTTCGGATTTTGGTATTGAAGATAAAGTATCTGCTGTCACTGTGCATAGCTATCTGGACTTTGATGAGATTATTGAGGTCATTAAAAGTAAACTTCTTGAAAAGAAAAGACTCCAATTAGATGGACAATTGTTTCGCGTGTCTTGTTGTGCAGACATTTTTAGTTCAATGGTGAAAAAAGCATTTGGGATGATAGAGGATTTAATCAGTGACATTCGACTCATAGTATTTTGGGGCAAATCACTACCAGTTTGGAATGTGACATTTCATAAATTAAAGGAAGCTTTGGAGTTAGAGGCTAAAGGAGAATACTTGAAAGGTGATTATAAGGATTATGATATACCTTCGCCCCAAGAGTGGGAGAAAGTTAGGGGAGTATGTAAACTTGTAGGACATGTCTATACTGCAGCAGAAGTGCTATTTATGTCAAAATGTCCCACTGCAGGTCTCTACTTCCACAATCTCAATAAGCTTCGATTTAATCTGATGAAAGAGTTTGTGAGTTCAGATGAATTTGTCAGAAATTTAGCCAATATTATGCTGAAAAAGTTTGACAAGTATTGGAAGAATATATATTTGGTGTTGGCTCTAGCTACTATTATGGATCCACGCTACAAAGTGAAGTACATAGAGTTCTGTTTCTTGAAGTATGAAGATAACGGTCATTTACCGCTCGCATCTATCTTGGAGGCAATCTGAAGCCTTCTCGATGACTATGTGGTGCACAGGTCCACAATGGAGTATCCTATGAGCGATGACGATTCTGATACGGGTGAAGATCTTCTTGAACCAACGGAAATTGTTGATGATCCTAGTTTTGGATTTGACTGTTCAGAAGAGTTTAGCAAATTCATCGAAACAACTAGTCAGCCACCAAAGTCAGAAATTGACTGCTATCTAGAAGAACCTATTGTGCCTTGGACTAAGAACTTTGATGAGTTGAGTTGGTGGAAAGCTGCAAGTCCTAAATATCCTGCCCTATCAAATTTAGCTCGTGATCTTTTGTCAATTCAATTGTCTCTTGTTACAGGCTATGATGCTTATTTTATGGATGTGCGTGAACCTGATAGCCACTTGACTTCCTTGGAGTCAGATTTAGTGAATGCCTTGATGTCTACCAAAAGCTGGTTTGATAAACAGCGTCGTAATGCGGTAATCACTGATTCTTCTGCTCTCATCCATTCGTTTCTTTCATATTTAGTTCTTGCTGATTAAATGCTAGAAGTGGAGACGGATGACTTAATACAGATATATCAAACCAATTCTCTTTTCTGCTACACGTAGTCTTCTAGCTCACATTAAAATGTGGGGTTCTTCTTTAAGCTGTTGTGCTGGTGAGCAGATTGAGTTTTAAACTTTGTGCAGTTACTACGAGCAGGGTCATTATGGTACATATCATACGTTATTTATAAAAGAAAAAGAAGGAAGCCATTTCTCAAATTGCAACCAAGAAATAGGTGGAAGATAAAATGTTGAATTGGCTCAGCACTTTTGGTACACATATTAATGAGCCAACTTGGTCCTAGTCGCTAACAGGAAAAGGGGGCTGATGATCCATGTGAAGCTCTTTGAATGTCTATCTCTCTCTTACTTCAGAATTGACTGATGATGTTCAGTCTTGTTATTGAACTAGAAAAGAACCTTGTCGTTGTGAACTCAGATCTCATATGTTTCTCTTTCGACCCAAAAAATGAAAACAGATATTGATCTAAGTTGCTCGGACACGGGTGAGGGTCTAGAGGTCGTATCCTTCGAGATGTAGATTCTAAGATTTGGGGATACGGATACGGGTACGGGGATCCGGCTAAAAATAATTCAAAAAATAAAAATATCTCTAAATTATGAGAAATTTTGTAGAATACTTACGTATAGCTTGTAAAGTGTGGATTTTCTTTTTATTCTCAAGTTGTAGATAAGTAAAGGATTAATTTTTTAGACAAGGTATACTATTTTCTTCAAATTTACCCTAGTTTTGGTTCTGATTTTGGGAATCAAATTATATCTCGTCTCGAATTTTTCAGTCCGTCGTGGTCAAAGTACCCAAAATTGTTTGACCATATCAGGTACGGATCCCATACCCACACCCGTACTAGTGTCGTGTCGACACGGGTGCGGCACCTAAACTGCCGTGTCGGAGCAACTTAGATTTTGATAACCACGCCCAATGAGCTTCAGACCTGCTTGTGGTTCAGTGGTCCTCAATACCTCGTGGGGAAAATTAACTCCAAAGCAAACTTGATTAGCAAAAGACAAGAAATATTACTGGGTGAGGGTCTTGACGAGCCAGAGGAACAGAACCCGATTATGTTTCTGGGTCCTCTATATGGTTTTTGAAGCTATAGAGTGGTTGCTTTTGGTTTGTCACTTCTGACAATTTTATATAGCTGGATTTATGGGTTACCCTTTAATAGAGGCAATGAATGTATAGGTACTCATTCCTTCAACTCGTGATAGATTGATAGTTGACGTTGATGAGACTTGTTATGGCATGAAAACAGTATTTTCAGGCTTATAGTTTAGTACTAAGATAGCATGAAACATCTTTTCATTGGATACAGAATCTAGTCAAAACAGTCTTGAGATTCACTGTCAAAGCCAATAGCTATCTACTCCAGAAAATCTGTCACAACAACAATACATACAAAGTTTGCGGATGCGGACTAACTTCTACCTATTAGGCAACTGACGTGCGTGAAAGGAGCTCTTAGGCTAGAGGCCGGGACTATCCAATAAGGTATACAGCGTGGCCGTAGCCTTGAACATTATCTTTGAACTGAACATGCCATCAGGTAAGAGTAGGCAAGGAGATAATAATTTCATTGGCTAAAATAGAAACTTATTCAAAAGCTCTTCAATAGTTGCTTGTTAGGTTAATCTGACTATCAAGTGACACCAACAGTTGAAATAGCATGTGGGTGTGAAGAGTCCTAAGTGTCAAACCTGGGTAATGGCCCTTCTGCCTTGCTGCTTCACATCAAAGGCAGAAGTTGATTGCATATCACAGGGGTCACCTGTCAATGGACGCTCCTACTTCTTGATTATTGGTTATTAACATCTTATTCACATTTCTTCAGTCTATACAACATTATCCTTAGATGGTATAGCTCAGAAAAAAAATGAAGATGTGGAATTAATTCGGCAATGGCAAACTTTATTTGCAAATGACCAGAATGGTTTGAGCAGAGACTTGTGCGATTTTGTGCTTGCTTTTATGGAGTTTCATCAGGATCTGTCTCTCTGTTAAATTTCTTATATGTATATTTTCCATGCTGAAGGAATGAAAGGTTCACTTTTCTGCTGATATTTGGTACCTTTTGTTCTCCAACTCAAAACTCTCAATGTTTAACATCCAAAATTAAAGCACAGCTAAAAACTTTCTCTTCCTTTTGCGGTGGGAAAGAAGTCATGTTGCTCAAAACTTGGTCGAAACATCACCAGCATTATGTAGTCAAAGCTAGACTTCTATTTCAATTATCATAGCATCGTTCTTCTAGTTATTGCATTATCTTCTGGTTGATGATTCTCTAGTCTAGATCATAACTCAAAGTCTGGCATTTGATGTATTGGAATATTTAACTCAAAGCCTTTCCGTGTTTGCACCATTCTTATTTAGATNATGTTGTACTGACTCAACTTTTGTTTTCATGCAGATGAAAGCTGAGGGCTCCGCAGTGCAGAATAATTGATTTGAGAGGAACTTTTCCTTTTTGATGGAAGATTGAGATTCCAAGAAAGCCTTTATTCGGATAACTTCCTATCTGAAATAGCCAGAAACGTTTTTGCGGATAATGGGATGTTATTATATATAGTAGAAATCTACCTAGTCCATTGTGATCCTGCTAGGCCCTAGGTGGAATGCTAGCTACTCATAGTATATTATTGCAGCTACTTCTTTTTTCTGTCTACTTCACCCCAAATGTTAAATAGCCCAGGGAATCTTTATTTTATCAGATGTTGAGGGAAAAGTACTCAATATGGGAGAAAATCCTTAAAAAGTATTCAGCAGAAGATATTCTGAAGGATGAATGTGAAATTATCTTAGGATGAAAAATTGAAGGAAAAGAGCAATACTTCCAATATGAGGAATCGAATAGCAAACAGAGCCTATGGTTTGATATCTGATTTAAGTTGGGGGCGATTAAACTCAAGTTGGATCACGTGACTGAAGCCGCTTTCTCTCACTGCTGTTGGCAAAGAAACATATCCAAAATACCACGTCTTTTAATTTTGCTAGGCAAAAGTGATTGTGGTATTAGATTACCTGTGCTGTTCCTGCAGCTGCTACATACTGGAAAAGCATCGAGTCAGTCTAGTTTGTGGGCAACATAATATATGGAGGCATTTTATTGCAGTAATCTATATTTATATATATATATATATATATTAAAGTAAGAAAGTTACCATATATAATTGACATTATGGTTAAGTCAAGTGGCAAGCTAATAAATGTCAATTGTATATGGTAACTTTATTCTATATTTGACTATTTTAGTTAAATACAAATATAATATAGAGAAAATCTTACTTTACACCCATTAATTCTAAACTATTTAGAGAAATTTTCATAAAGCACTATCTTTCAATAGTAATTAGTCATCTATAGATACCATTTGTTATATTACGGATTATAGATACCTTTTATGTGGTTATAAGATGTATTTGATGTATTTAAGCTATTGTATTCATGAATACAGTAGCAAAAATAGGCGTGAATCAGGGAAATCCAGCTAATCAGTTGTTGTATTCGATTGTATTCATGGAGTGAAACATGGAATTACAGCTGGACAGATTATTGTAGTCGACTGTATTCACGACGTGAAATAGGGGATTACACTGTTTTTAAAAGGGAAAGTGAATCAATTAACATAATAGACTCCTAATATAACTCAACAAACTCAATTATAACACACAAATTTTGTATTTTCAGTTATAAAAAAGATTCTCAACCGAAAAATACCTCAAAAACATAGCAATCTTCAGAAAAATTATATAACATCTGAATACATAAATTATATTAATTAAATTTCCGCGATAATGGAATGCACGCATTAATAATCTATGATGATCTTAGTAAACAGGCGGTAGCATATCGACAAATGTCATTATTGTTACGCCGACCACCAGGTCGTGAGGCTTTCACAGGGGATGACAGGATTTGAACCTGTGACATTTTGTACCCAAAACAAACGCGCTACCAAGTTGCGCCACATCCCTTCAATTGTTCCACAGTGTAATTGTAGAGAATTCCTGTCTTGTTTTCCACATGGTTATTTCCTCCATTGATATATACAAATTTTCTGCTCATTTCGTCTTTTTGGTCTCATTTAACATATAATAGTAAAATAAAAGGAAAAGACTTCTCTTATAGATTATATAGAAAATACTTATATACAATTATATACAAAATATATAAATACAGAACCCGTCGTAAAAATCAATTAGTATTTTTCGGAAATTCTCGGTAAGAAAGAAGGGGATGTATTTTTTTTTTCTGTTTTAAGAAAAGGAAAATCTTATTTCCCGAATCATTGTACATTGCAATTTGAATTAGGAATTCTGTGTCCAACTCTAAGCAGCCCTTAACTACATATGCATCTGATTATATATGTATTATCTATTCCAACAAATAATACAAAAGAAGGAGGTTTTTCAATGCGAGATCTAAAAACATATCTCTCTGTGGCACCAGTACTAAGTACGCTATGGTTCGGGGCTTTAGCAGGTCTATTGATAGAGATTAATCGTTTTTTCCCGGATGCGTTGACATTCCCCTTTTTTTCATTCTAGTTATTGTCATGGGAAGGAATGAAGAAGATTAGAGATCCAATCAAATATTGGTGATGAATCCCTCTCCCCCTCTTTTCTCTTTTTTCCCTTTTTAGAATAAGGGAGGAAAGAGAAAGAATAAAAAAAGTGGATTCAACATTCGGGCTCAAGTTCGAATTAACTGAATATTAATAATAGAGGAATGGGGGTAGAATAGAAGATCTAGGGCAAGAGTATTATACAAGATACTTAAATGATTACTTCAATTTGAAATATACTTTAGAAAAATCGTTGTATTTTACTATGACTTTGCTTTACTATTACTTTATTTTCTTGATTTTAATCTTTTACTTTTAGAATTGGATTTCAAGTTAGTAACTTCTATTTTATCCTTTCTTCGTTTTGAATCGAAAATAGAAGAGTTGAGTTAATCAAAAATCCAAAGGAGGTTCATGGCCAAGGGAAAAGATATCCGAGTAACGGTGATTTTGGAATGTACTAGTTGTGTCCGAAACAGTGTTGATAAGTTATCAAAAGGTATTTCCAGATATATTACTCAAAAGAACCGGCACAATACGCCTAATCGATTAG